CTTCAGTGAAATACAATAAAATTTTCTGTAAATTAGCAAAAAAGTATCCAAATTCTTTTATGAAAATTGTGTTTTTCATTTGTAAGAATACAATTTCTGTCTTACTTCATGTTAGTGAAGTTTTCCGAAGAACTTCAGAAAATTTATAGGTTTTAAAACTAAAGTGAAGGAAGCGCCACGAAATTTTTAGTTTTTCTAACTCCTCAATTTAAATAAGGTTTTCCAGAATAATGAATTTTCCTTTAAATGCCCTTTTTTAATTTCGAATTGCCTCAGCTGTATTTTGTAGCTTTAATAAATTGTCAACTAAGTACTTTGATAAAAAATAGTAAGTAGTAGTAGTAAAAAAGTTCCTTAATCCTTAAATTATTTATTTTTAGTACGTTTTATATTATTAATTTTCAAATAAACCATAACCTTACCTTCAAAAGTTCATAATTTCATTTTTATTTATAAGGTTATGCACCCCTTGAAAGTTGGGTCGTGGTTAGTTCAAGTTTCTGTCTAATCATATAGTTGAGCTACTGTGGGGCAAAATAAAAAATACTATGTCTGAAGATTAAACCGCTTTTATCTAAAAAAAAAAATCGCGTCGCTACCTTTGTGATTTAATTCATTCAGTTTAATTTAGAAAACTTTTTTCACTTTCTTTCAAACGGTTTTAAATTTATTTTCTCCTGTTTTAAGAAAAACGCGACTGTGTCCGTACAGTTTTATGTCTTTGTCTCTTTGTATCTACATTATAAAGTTTCTGAATATGGTATTAGCTTTAAGAAAATACACCACCGGTACCTACTTTGATGACGTATAATATAAAACGGTTTATCGTGTTTTATGCAGCTAAAGAAGCACGGTTTATTGTATGCACAGTGTTTAATATTTATAACTCGTTCTAGTCTCCCTTTTAACAATCTCAGTGGGCTTTCGTTGTTGTTCAATTGTTGATGTTGTCTGTTACAGCCTGATGAACGGAAATGCTGTTTGTATGAAGTAATCAAGCACAATCGGAACTTATTTCGACCTGTGTTGATTGCTGACTAAAGGGGAAGCTTGAATGAACAAAATCATTGCCGCATTCAGTAACACCAAGGAAATATTTTAGTTTATCGGTTTACTGGAGTTAAGTTATTTTATACCAAAATAATTATTTCTTTTTTTATACTTGAAGAATATACTCTTGTGCATGCTAATTAAACGTAATACCAATGGTTGCAAAGTAGAAGTCATCACGGAATTTTAAAATTGTGAAACTGTAGAAGTATTAATTGCAGAATTAATTATGAAATATTTTTTTAACTAGTTATTACTCTTGAAAAGCAATTGTCGAAGTACATTCCATTGAATTAAGGATACTTGCAAGAAAATGTTTAATTTAGAATTATTCATTATGCTTTATCCTTTTTGACTTTGTTTATTAAAGAAAGATTTAATTTTATTAATCTCTTCCTGCAATCCTACTTTACACGGGAAGAATTTTAAATCTACCTACATATTGTTGCGAGTCTGTGGGGCGTGATAAAAAAATAGAGGGTGCGACCATACCATATCGACAGAAAATGAGAAATATAAAAAAACTGAAATAATTTTTCAGTAAATTTACCTGTTTGTGGTAATTTACAGCGTTTGTTATGAATGTCGAGATGAAAATTTGGCGTCAAAAAAAAAAATAAAGAAATATTACAATTGCAGCACGATTTTTATGAGGGGGTAGGGTAGGGTTGCCACCTTTTCAGGTTTTACATAAAGTATTTCTCGACTAAAAGGTTAAAAAAAAAGTACTCAGCATAAAAATAAAGTATTTTATTTTTTTTTTTTCTGAAAACATATTTTTTGTTACACCTAGCAGCCAGTAACAAATTGCTGTTGCTCTTAAATACATTAATAGCCTCTAAACATGCCAAACAAAGATTTAGGTAAACTAAAAGTTGATTTTTAATTAGTTTTAATGAAGCTTTATTCCTGTCGTCCCGCCACTTTTCGTTCATAACAGAGAATACTCTTTCTGTAAATGCTGAAGTGGCCGGAACGGACAGCAAAAGTGACACTACCTTGAACAGATTTGGGAAATCAGGTTGATCCGTAAATATAGCTTGCCATTTTTCTGTACAATATTATTGATGTAAAAATACTCTGAATTTCGAATAATCGCTTACAAAATTACGATGTTTACTTAAGGCCTTAAATAAAGTATTTTTGCGTACTTTATGTGTCTTGTAAGATATAACGTACGCACAGTCGAAATAGAGTACAATACTTTATAATAAAGTACGGGTGGCAACCCTAGGGGAGGGTGACGATGAGAATTGTGGTTGAAAATTGGGTTGTAAATACCAAAGGGTTAAGAAATTCTGCACTTTTTCTCCAATTGTAAGCTCTCCCCTAAACTTTGTACGTCCCTGTTTATTTGTGCGCATGCTTTGCGCACCTCTGATTTAAGCATCGGATCGAATCAAATGGAAACAACAAAAATCGGAATCGATAGCGAAACAGGATGCAGCTACCGTAAAAATCGAACGATCCGTTACAATAACCTAGTTCAAAGCAAAAAGAAAGATTTGTTTACGGTAACAAATGCAATAATGTCCGCTGTACAGTACAAAGTCTTCGATGTACTATTATAACAACTACGTAACGTACAATATAAATATAAGCAGTAAAACGGCGTGCTGCCATACGGCTTGCATCATAAAACCATTTTTTTTTTCGTTCGACATAAACAGATGCTAGAAATAAAGTACCGTGTCATCTCATCTGCTTTCTGTTTATTTAATCATTTACTGCTCGATTGCGCGCCCGAAAGCGCCCGCCCGCCCATATAGCAGAATGTCTGTTGATACACTCTGTTTATATTCAGTTTCATTCTTAAGAGCTCTTGTCAACTGTTTTATTTTTGTTATCGTCATGTGCCGTATCCAACAATGAACAAGAACAAAAAAAAAACGAAATCTCATAACGGTCCGCGTCTTCAACTTGAAACAGTTTTGAGTGTCTCTGTAACAGGCGCCTTCGTCACACATAAAAATGTAGTAATTACCGTTTTGTTTACGTAAAACCATACAAGGAATATTAAATTTAAATTGTATAAAGTGCGCTATTGTATTCATGAGTTGTTTATGGTGAGAACTCTCTTCTGGATTTAATAAATTTAATCAAAATGGAAAATTAGAAAATAACAGGTGTAGGAGGATATATTATAAACATGGCAAAATCAAATTTAAATTTAGTAAACATTTAATGTTCTGCATGATTGGAAGTTACTATGATTAAATCATGATTAACTACTTACATCAATGAACTGAAGCACACTGTTTACACTGCAAATAAAAGTACGCAAATCCGCCGCTGCCACTTTTAGAAATATCTAAGCTTTGCGTACTTTTCACAGCAGCATAGAAAGAGCGCTCTTTATTTCTGAATATATTATATGAGGTACTTATTAATTCGTATTCCAAATGAATATTTCTATTCTAGCTATAGTAATAAAATCACATCCAGAAGAAAGTTAAGTAATAAGGACAAAATGTGTTAGGTATTCAATAAAAATAAAACCAAATTATATACAGTGTAAACCCTATATAACGACACTTAAGGGACTGAACATTTTTCGGCGTTATAAAGAGTGTTCGTTAAATGGAGAGAAATAAAAGATATTATTTTACTATTCTATAATAATATGCATTTACCAATTTAGTACACATTTTGCACACGAACATTATTATTCATACATTGCGTATAGCCTGTTATCTTCGTCTGATGTTTTTTGCTGCTCCAATATTTTAATTGTATTTTGTTACGTATCTTACTCATATCTTGAGATACTGCTGGATCAATTTGATTATAAAAAAAGTATTTTTTTAATAGTTTCGCTGGCATCAAGTGCTTGTTTGATGCTTAGTGGAGGGACAGGATCGTCTTCTTCAACAACGTACACAGCTGCAGTTCTTATCTATTTCGGCAACTTAGAAAGTACTGCTCAATGATTTATAATGTCGCATTGTTGTCGTTAAATAGAGTGAGCGTGACGCTATATAGAGTGTAATATTGTATAGAAAACAATGTAAACCAACCAAAGTCAAGCAATTTCGACGTTTTAAGAAGTTTGTCGTTAAATCGAGTGACGTTATAAAGAGTTTACACTGTACTTGGAGTTCATAAAAATTTTGAAATGACTGCTTCTACTGTCCAACAAAACAGACAGGAGCATGGTAATTTTCCCTCATATACAATCATTGGGAAAATGACCCTAGCCTTAATTTTACAACATCTACAATTCTACTCTTTATTAGAAATGGGCGATTATTAACCGACTGTAGATTGTAATTAATCGATTATTTTTAAAAACTGAATGTAATCATTATTGATAAGGAAATTTGCCCAGCATTACTCCGTATTTTGCGGAAAATTTAACCGTTAAAAGTTAATATTGTGTTTTATCATTACATATTTTATCTGTCAGTATTCAACGTAAAGTTACTTTTGTATTGATCGCTTGCACTGAAAATGAGACAAGTTTCATCAATTGAATTTTCATTTTTTTTTTTCTTGTTACAGTGTTGGGAGAACTGCGAACTTCTCCAGTCAAACTTCCAAGTTTGGGGCGCCATGTGCGAGGAGAAGGAAATATGTGTAAGTTTTCCAAGTTTTATTTTGCGGTAGCCCAGACCACCAGGCGGTTTCGCCTCGCCCTCTACCTACAAACCAACCACGTTACAATCGGTCGGCTGGCCCGTAAACAATTCCGAAACGAAATTTCGATTCTATTCGAGTTTCCTTCCGGCTTTCCGTTACATTTGTTACCGTAGCGAATGTTAAAATGTATGCGAAGTCCGGAAGTGTGCAAAAGAATGAAACCAATAATATAAATTTCTACGTACGTAGTCCGCGCACTCATACGAAATCCCTAGTACCCTACCGTTTTGTATTATACAATATAAGTATCTATCCCTTTTACATTATTTGACATTTTCCGAATTGTTTTCGTTCTAGATATAAATATCACGACAACGCTGTTACTGTTTCAATAAAATTTACTGAGAAATACAGCTGGAAGTAGACCGTATATGCCAGCTGTATCAGTTAAGTAACTAAGTATTATCTGAAAGTAATTTTTACGTTAAATTAGTTAGGATGATTATTTATCAGACACAAATAATAATAAATTTCAGATATTAACTTAGGTATTTACCTACTGACAATATACAGAATTTCAAGTTTCCTTACAAACCAGTATCTCAGCAAAATGACTGTCACAGATGAATAGATTTACAAATGCTTTGAATATGTAAGGGTTCCGTTTTTCTTATCGAAGCATGGAAGTTTAAAAATTACAGAAAAGTCGCTTGTATATTTGAATTAATAAAGTGATTGATTTATTAAAGTAATAAGCATCATTATGAGCAAATAACTTCACATAATTTCAAAATATTTTAAGTTTATGATCTAAAACAGGGATTGGATTACGCGACCTTCAATCCGCATGTGACTTCCGAAAGGTTTGTAAGACTTTAATGAACTCTAGTCCTTTTATTAATTAACAAGCTTTTACCCGCGGTTTTGCTTACGTTGATGTCATAAATACATGACAAAGATCATTTAAAATACAATAATTTTATAAATAGTCCTGTCCAGGACCAACAAAACTAAAATATCTAATTTTTTTACACTTATCGAAATAAAAATAAATTTTTCTATCCCTTGGGGAACAGTACCTTTTTGTCTAGATAACAGGTATCCTATGTCCTTCTCTGTATCCTTGACAATATGTGTACAAAATTTCATGATGATCGGTTTAGTAGTTAAGACGTGAAATGGTAATAAACTAACACACTCCTTCGCATTTCTAATATTAGTTACAAGATAATCAATGATAAAAATCACAAATTGAAAATTATTACTCTTTTATTTGTGCCTAATTTAAATGTGACCTCTAATGGTCTGGTTTAAAACAATAACAATTGAAAAATTCTAAAACAGTTTATAAAAGAAAATTTAAATAAAAAGTCTAATTGTTGGAATATAACTTCGAATAATAATTTTCTAATCACTCTAAACTTTATTCTTCGTAAATATTTAATCTCCGAAAGATTATTTATATTCTAAATTTAATTTTGTGGCAACATTTGGTAGAATCCTTTTTCTCTTGTTTTGGGGTTTGTTCGGATTATAATTCGTGAAATGTTTCTCGATTTTCTTCGTACATTTTGTTCGGTTTAAATTAGTGCACGTCTGACTGACAGATCGTTCCAGTCGCTGTCAAGGGCTGATAAACAAAATCCTTTATTACGAACGCTTAATTTCATTACGCTAGCGCCTGTAAATTAAACCTATTTATCTCGTGGACCGAAAGCGGCTGCAGCAGCATCAACCGGCACTAAGAGAAAAGACGTGAACCATTCTTGGGCAAAACAACTGCGAAGGGATTTAAAACAACGGTTTCGCTTCTCAAGATAAATTGGAACAATTAAGTTCCTTTGGCGTCTTCATTAGACATGCCAGATAATGAGAAGGATTCGAAATTAAATATTCAAAAAAACGCTTGTACCGCTTTGTTCTTGTCGGTAGATAAAATTTGCACCGTCTCGAGAGCTGTAATTAAAAAGGAAATTCTCATTTCTTTATCTCGGGATTTCGGCAAACGGACAGATAGTCGTCGTTTCGGGCAGAAATAGTTGCGGGTCGGTTACGCCGCTTCTTGTCAATCGACTTCGTCCAATTGAAACTTGATTACCATCGTTAAATTTGAAATGGATACCTGGTCTGCCGAATCGTCATCATTTATTCTTCAAGATATTTTGCTCGATCGTCTAATATTTTTTAACAGTTTCTTTTATTTCTGCTTCAATGATGTTGATTAGAAATTTTTAAAGACAAAACTCATCTGAACTTGAATCAAGCAGAAGTAAGTACCAATTGTTTTTGCATTTTAGTGCAGTCATTAGTGTCCGACCGAAACTGGTTTTTACGACCGAAACCAAAACCGAAACCGAATTTCGGCAACGGTCTCAGTTTCGGCCGAAACCGAAACCGAAACATCCTTATAAGGATCATGTTTTGAGAGAAAAATAAAGAAAACGTTATTATAATCAGTCAGTTTTATTTTTTTATCTTTAAATTACATAGCTCTGCAGTCTTTGACATTTTCACTTATTGATAATTAAATCGAAATCAACATAACAACCCCTCATTTAAGGAAATACTTTAATTGCGCCTTAAAAATATTTAAAATAGGTGAGATGTTTATTTGAGTAAGTATAGTAGACTAGGCTCATTTTTCTTTTGAAGATTATTCATGCTTTTTTATGTCTATGTCTACTAATCTACTTCGCTTGGATGGAATTTAATGCGCCGAACATGACCGAGCAGAGCGCGAGAACTCCTGAACGCAGTTTCGGTTTCGGTCGTAGTTTCGGCAGGTTTGGCGCCGAAACCGAAACTAAACCGAAACTCGTTTTTTCGCCGAAACTCGACCGAAACCGAAACCGAACTTTCGATCGGACACTAGCAGTCATAGAAGGTAGCAATAACAGAAAACCACGAGAAGGTTCTGGAATTAATCCTCAAAATTTTGATAGGCTTAGGCTTCATGAGCCTAAACGTAAGCCCAATATTGCATTCAACATTATTCTAAAACACAATTGGACATAATATTCTATTAGAATAGATAGTATACAAAAAGTGGAATGAAGATTCGGGCTATAGGGGCGTGGTCTAAGTGAGCTATTGTGTCCAGACGTTTCATCAGCTACTGCGGCTGACATCCTCAGTGGTAGTGCGGCGTTGACAACGTGAACGTAGATTATATCTCGAAGTTTCGACAGCGACACAATAGTTCACTTAGACCACTGCTTTATAGCCCGAATCTTCATTCTACTATGGATTCCGGCCGTGAAAGCCTTTGTTCTTATATAGGTAGTACCTAAACAAAAAATACTTAATTATCACTGAGTTTCTGTTATTGGAAATGGTTTTTAATATACTATAGAATAGGTTTTTAATTGCCTGTTTGGGAAATATAGAACACTTATGTAGGGTAGTTTGTTGGATATTTGGATTAAAATTTATCGCGTGCTATTGATGTAACCGATGGCGTTATTTTCTTTATTTTATGGCAACATTTCTCCGGTTTTACGGCGAAATGTATCGCTAAATCGTGTTGGGAATGCGGAGGGTTGTATCGCCGGATAGAAAATGACCCGGGTCCGGATGAGTCCGGAACATCAGAAAATAATGACTATCATTTGCAGTTAGAGATGTAATGCTCGCGACCTTTTCGAGAAAACAAGCATCAGGCAATGAACCTGCTTCTCTTTTTGCTGAATTTCTTCTCGTTTCCCAAACAAACCGTTATTGGGCAATCTTTCCTTTTCTCAGAGTTAATGGCATTTCGATTCAATTTGCTAGATAAGTGGTTCGAGTCTCGAGTCTGCGGGGACGTCCCCGTCAGGAACTAAAACAGAATTTTAAATTGAATAAAACGTAATTTTCGTTTGATTTCTTTCCTTTGTCACAACTTCAATTCCGATGACGAGCCCAACTTTTTTTTTTTTTCTTTTTATGATAAACTGACAACGATTTAATGTTGTCTATTCGCTAAAGGCTTATTTAAATATTACGTCTAAATGTAGAGATTGGGGAGGTATTATGATAAATATCAGACGAAGAGAGTTTTATTTTATTTTAACTTTTTTCTATTTCTGAAGTCAGAGCTAGTCAAAGTATTCCGTTACAATAGTTCAAGTAACAAATATCATGTAGTTCAGCGCTATCCAACTTATCATAGCCCGCGGGCCATATTTTCATCACCAAACATTTCGGGGGCCAAGAAGATTTATAAATGTAAAGTAAGTTTATGTTAATTAAAACAATATTTTACTCATGCTAAAGATAAAACTCTAAAATATTCGTAATTAATTAATAAGAACATTGTGACCGTAACTGTTTAGCAACAATATCTTTTATGTCTTCATTAATATTTGTTCTGGCAAGTCTAATTATATCTTCAAGAGTAAAATATTTTAAACTGTTTCTATATTGTGACTTTATATATTTCATATCGGAGTATGCACGCTCGAAGATATATGTACTTCCAAACATTGATACAATTTGAAGTCCAAAATCTCTCAATTTTGGATATTTTTCTTTATCTAAAAATTTGAATATTTCTATTCCAGTTACTCCACGAGATGTAAAAAATGGGTCAGCCTGCAGGTCGCATAATTCTATTTGATATTTAAGATCAACGGAGTTGATATCAATATTAATTGGATCATAAAATAAATCAATAGACGGTTTATGATCATCAAATTGAGAAAATCTTTCATTGAAATCTGTAATTAACATATCTAATTTTGGTAGAAATATTTTAAAATCCGCTTCTATATTACATTCTTTCATTTCTTCATAGATCTCTTACTTTACATAGTAAAGTAATTTTAATATTAATTTAGTAACAAAAATTTATTCATACTAAAATGTACTCGCGGGTCGTGAAAATAATTTGGCGGGCCGTATACGGCCCGCGGGCCGCCAGTTGGACAGCCCTCATGTATTTAGTTGGCTGATGTACTTCTAAATACTAAGAAGTTTGTTTCAGGCTACTTCAATCACAAAATAGTTTAAATAAATACAAGCCCAGTTGGGGTATTTTCTAATTTATTTTCTAACGTACGTACACGAAGAGAAAAATTTTAGAAAATTTACCATATGAAGTAGTCGACACTATAAAACTCGTGCAAGAAAGATGTATTGAGAAAATTTAATATTTGGCCAATAATTTTTGTGAAAGAACCTTATAAACTTTACTATAGGAATTTTAACTGTGTTAGCATGGTAATTTTTCCATGCTTAATAGTCAAAGGCATCAAGATTATGAGATTGCATGGTAATTTTTCTAAGATTTTTCTCTTCGTGTATAATGACTATTCAGATAGTTATTTTTAATCATCTTTGAAACGTTTAAGTAATTAGTAAATGTTACTAAAGTTCATAGTCTCTAAGAGGTGAACATAAGTGGTTATATATTATTAAACAGGGGGATTTTCAGTATCCTTGAAGGAAACCAAAATTATAGAACCATGGTAATGTATGATGTATTGGGGTGATATAATGGGTATTTCAGAAATAGTTAACGATTTATGAAGTATCATTGGAGTAGAACGCTCTGTATATATACCTATAATGTTATTCACAAGAAGTTTTTCAGACATTGTCAGTTAGTTATTGGCATGAAATAATCGATAATTGCCTACCCTGAAAGTGCATTTATTGTTTGATACGCCCGAGTTGGCGTGCATTACACGTTATATGTACCGGCGTAATTAATAGCCACTACTCTGGAATTATCTGATGAAACCGTGCTTCCTTTATTTTTATGGGAGTTGAGCTATGAGAGCAAACCTATGGGAAAAGTCCTTACTGGCTGCGTTCAAACAGGCTGTTTGTTTTCCAACTTGCCAAATTATCAAATTAATTTAATGACTTTTGAGGGAATACGAATTGCACTAGTATAATAATTACAAATTTGGACAGATGCGTCATGGGTATCGTATCGAGAGAAAAATTTTAGAAAAATTGCCAAATTCGTCACTATAAACTGAATGCAAGAAAAATTTACTGACAAAATTTCAATATTAATCTAATAATTTTCGAACTTTAAAAACTTTTTTTATTTTTACTGTGTTAGCATGGTAATTTTTTTAATGGTAAGATTTTTCTCTCTGTGTTGTTCTTGTTCTTCCATACCGTAACCTAATTTATCCTGGTCCAAAGCCACTACCGCATCCTGTCTATAGCGTCAAAGAATTGGTGATTTTTGATTAAAAAATCCAATTAAATGACAATATCTTGGAATTCGAATGTAATCGTAACTGCACAGTTTTACCTACCCTTTAATTAAACATTTTAATAGTAAGATATCTAATTCTATAATTTTATATCATAAGATTACATTAAAATCCTTCGTACCTATTAATGTTATTGTTGTACGATACTATTGTTATTCATTTCGTTATTATAAACTACGTTTATTTAAAAACTTTTGCACAAAAGGTGAAAATGACCTTTATATACTTATTTTTATATTTATATGATGGCATTAGCTCAAAATACATCTGATAAAATTTAGATTTTCTTCAAAAAGTTGTGCTACGAATTTCGACGTTTCATGACGCCATTTATTAATTAAAACGTAAAGACAAATAATATTACATTTTTGAAACTTCGATATTTTTAAATTTGTTCTCATACAAAAGGTCGTCACGCAGTATAACAAAAGGGGATGTTTATTGAGTTCTAATTCGCTTTAATAGCAAAGCCGTGTTTTTCCATCAAAGGGTTGTGCCCTTCTTGGTGGATGTTAAGGGTAAAAATAAAGAATATGAGGGAAGGAGTCCCCCCCAGTAGGTTTACATGCACTGCTTTTGGTTGCATGACCACTTAAAGGGTCTGCCTTAAATATATTTTAATTATTGGTTGTATCCGCTTAAGGAATAAAAAATAATTATTATGGTGGCGTTACTTTTTCACATAAAAAATTAGTTTATGAACGACATTGCGGATACATCCAATAAATATTTCATGCTGTTGTTTGGCATGGAATGATATGTTTCTATTTGCAATCTCTATTAGTCAATACCTTCAAATTGTTTTAATACAAACGAGGGAATATCAATGTTAGATGTGTTTTTTAATATCTTAAGAGCCGTGAGATACGCCCAAAGAGGAGTACTTTTAACCATATTCCTCGAAGGAAAGAATAATAATAAACATTTCTTTAGTTGCCAGAGTCAATCAATTCCGTTAGTTTAAAATCCAATCACCAGTCGATACATTCAATAACAATTTATCTGTATAAATTATATTACTTACCGAATCGCTTGTCAACGATTGGTGGTGCATTTGGCTTTGGCTTTTAATCAAACAGAGTGAATTCCGCAGTTTGCCAAGAGCCCGGTTTGATTCGGCACTTCAGCAAACGTAGTGGCTCCTTCTTCCTTCAACTGCTACGGCACTCACCACCACCACCACGTAGTACCTATATACTTATACGTACATACAGAAGCTGCAAATACATTTCTCTGTTTCTGACAAGTTTCTAAGGAAATCGATATGGCAGCATTAGCAGTGGCATTAACAACTCCTTCCTCGTCCTCATGAACGACCTCCTTTACCTCGCCTTCATTTGCAAATAAATAGTAGCACGAATACAGTTTTAAGTGCAAGAAAAGAAACTTTTATTTGTGAAACGATTCAACGTCTTGGGGATAGTTCAATATTAAAGATTCATTTATTATCTATTCATGGGTCACACACAAATGATTGTTCCAAACGAATGACCTTCACATCAATTGATCGTATATTTGGATGTGGTTTTGAAGAATTTTGCTTTTTATAAAAATTATTGAAAGATAAATTATTCAGAGAGGCGTACAATTTTTAAGCTCGTCAAAAATCAGTTAGATCAATAAAAGAATAAAATATGCAGATATAAAAGAACTTACCATTTTTAGTTGTACGGATTAAACTGCTTTCCGAACCATTGAGGTCTTTGGTGCTTATTCTTCTAGTTGCTTCAGTGGTGACTTATAAAGTGGATCCTAGTTGGAACGGTTACCACTCAAATCCACTTCAAGGGACTGTCAGTTAATACCATCGAAATATCTGAAAAAGTAAACTTCTATTGACCATGCCTCAACATCCTACATAAAAATAGTTTATACAATATTTGTTTATTGATTCGCTCTAAGTATATTTTCATTACAGTTTTGTTATTTGTAATTTATCGGACATTTAATGTGTATTAATGAATTAAAAATGACGAATGCAATAGTATATCATACAATTTATGTTCAATGTACTCATAAAATATTTATGAATGTGTGATTTACGAGGGTGGATTGATAAGTTTCCGGCCTAACCAAGAGATGAAGCCACTAGGCCTACCTTGAGGTGACATTCTATAGTACCATCCTTGGATAGCTTGTAGCTATAGTTTCAGCCCGATCTCCTTGCTAGTGTAGGTTTGACAGCACGCTGAACAAGACGCCTCTGTGGTTTTCGTAAAAATGGAAAAGCAGGAAAATCGTGCTGTCATCAAATACTTTTATTTGAAGGGGTTAACGCCGAAGGAAATTAAAAAAGAGATGGACTCAACACTGGGGACATCCTCCCCGTCATATTCAACCGTTAAGCAGTGGGTTTCCGAGTTTAAAAAGGGTCGTGTGAGCACCTCTGATGGGCCTCGCTCAGGACGCCCCGTTGAGGTCACAACTCCAGATATGATCGAAAAAATTCATCAAATAGTGCTGGGAGACCGCAGATTGAAAGTGCGTGAGATAGCTGAGACCTGTAAGATGTCATATGAACGTGTGCAACATATTTTGCACCAACATTTGCATATGGAAAAGCTCTGTGCAAGATGGGTGCCGCGTTTGCTAACAGTCGACCAAAAATTGATTCGAAAAAACATTTCTACCGCAAATTTGTCATTGTATAAGCGTAATCCAAGCGAATTTTTGCGTCGATTCGTAACCGTTGACGAAACGTGGGTCCACCACTACACTCCTGAAACCAAAGAACAGTCTAAACAGTGGATTGGACCAGGGGAACCAACTCCAAAGAAGGCAAAAACAATTTTTTCGGCGAACAAGGTTATGGCTACTGTTTTTTGGGATGCAAGAGGTATTATATACATTGATTACCTTGCAAAGGGTAATACTATCACTGGTCAATACTACGCAGACTTATTGCAACGTTTGAGCCACGAGGTGAAAATTAAACGACCTCATCTGGCGAAGAAAAAAATCTTGTTTCATCACGATAACGCACCAGCGCACACGTCAATCGTTGCGACGGCTAAAATCAACGATCTAAAGTTTGAATTGATGCCGCACCCTCCTTACTCTCCAGACCTAGCCCCGAGTGACTATTTTCTGTTCCCTAATCTCAAAAAATGGCTTGGCGGTAAGAGATTTGCGGACAATGAAGAAGTAATCGAAGCTGTAAATGGTTATTTTGAGGAGCTTGACGAATCAGTCTATAGAGATGGCATTAATAGACTGGAACACCGCTATGAGAAATGTATCAGCCTTGGAGGAGATTATGTTGAGAAATAAAAAAAAAAAATTTTTAAAAACCTTGTTTTTCTTGGTCAGGCCGGAAACTTATCAATCCACCCTCGTATTTGATGTAGTTCTATTAATATCTATTTTGCACTTTATATTTCGAATGAATTTTTCAGAACAGTTTTATATTTAATATTGCAAATTGAGTGCATTAATAAACAGTTCTTTAGATATATAAAGAAACAGGCGCGTGCCATTAGGGGTACGTTATAAAGCAATTACGTAACCATTTTAAGTGACTTTTCCAACGATCCTATCAGAAATTCTTGACTATAATTCATTCCTTTCATAAAGCCACATTATTACATGAATGAGGCGCACACTTAGGTAACGTTCTCCCTTACATTCCCGGACCTGAAAAGCGTTTTCGTCGTTTCTGGCGCCGGCGAAATTGGCTGACACTTTGAATAATAGTTCGCCTGTCGCTCGACGGGCCCTCTGATGGCCGATTCGTCTTCTTTCACGCCAACTCTTCGGATTTCGAATTTCCATCGGGGTTTCGGCCCTTCTTTCCTTCGTCTTCTTCTCCCGATAGCAGAACTATTGAGCTACTTATCTAGTAAATTGAATCGAAATACCATTAACTCCCGAAAAAGGAAAGATTACCCAATAATGGCGCGAGCAACTCCGGACCGATGGAACCCCTCGCTTCTTTAAAAGTCGAAGATATTGCGCCACCGACAGTGAATGACTTCCATTAGGTATCATTCCGAGTTTAGTATTCGCATTTGTTTTCGACGGATGATTTCGGTTTATTATTGAGAAGTAATGCACATTTCCGGAAGTACTTTAACTTGCTGTTGTTTTGTGAATCATTTTGTGACGTATATATTTTCATTGTTTCAGTTTCCGGGTTGTCAAGAAGCCTGCAAGTTCCACGCTGAAGCAGCCACGCGGGGGCAACAAGTGCAACCTGTGATTCATACAAAAGGCGAAGGGGTGATACGCGTAATGGGCCCTTTAGCACGTTGGCCACGCCCTTCCTCTGCCAACCCCACCACGCCCTTAGTGTACGTGGTTATGCGTAAATCGCAATCAGGGCCGTGGAGACAAATAATTCAAACCCTTGATCTCACCACTCGCGTACCTCTCAATTCTGATCAGCCAGGATCGATGCTCAGAGTACTAGTAGTCGATCCTCAAGGACTAGTAACGATCTACAGTCCTGACGAAACTTCGATTCAGAAGAAAAAAGGTAAAACTATCAACACCGAAATTAAAGCCACTACTAGCAAAAGTACCAACGCCGATGAACCTTGGGTCCTTCGAGAGGTTTCTCTGATACACCAGAAAGTACTGGTTATCGGTGAGATCGCTTGGGAACCTAAAGCCATACGTGGTGTCTACTTAGTAACTTGGGAAGTGGACGGAGGTGGTCTCAAGGGAAATCTCTTTACTGATTCCACCACCGTAACGCTATCTCTATGGCCGGATACCGTTTATCACATCCAGGTAGAGTTAGTATCTAGAACTCCTGGTGTCGATAATTTGAAGTCCCAAATGATGGACTTAGATACCGGCAGAGCCCAAAAGGTATCTACTGAGAGTCAAGAAGACTTGAACATGATCACTGGTGAAGAAGAGGGTGTAGACTTTAATTCTCCCTTACTGTCTGTACTCGTGGGAGCAGTGAGAGGGGAAAAGACCAAAAGGGCGTGGCAAAATTTGGAAATAATCCTAGGAAGCAGCGTTGCAATTATTCTATTTTCGTTGCTCATGCTGGTGGCCTATTGGAGGTGTAGGAGTCCTTCCGGTGTTGCCATAAACAATATGATCACCGGATCGACATCCTTCCGAAGTCACAAACTTGTAGAAGATTACACAGGATATTCAGGTAGGCACAATTACTATGTTTGGTGTAATTGAGGCACGATAATGAACCGCGTACACGCAACCGTGCATGTCGTAGTCAGGAAACACATAGCACGTATCTTCACGCAACGAAATAAAACAACTATAGGTATCCCAAAGATGCACCTGGCTTCTTATTTTTCTTGATTAGTGATAAGATGTAATTACGCCCGTACTTGAACTTGAGTAGTTATTGCGAAAAGACGGTAATTGCGTGCAGATTGGGTCTAGAGAATGTAAAAAAAGGAATCGAGGAAATAGTTTGATGATGATAATTTTTCTTTTCAAATTAAAAATTGAATGATTATTAAAATTATTCTCGAATTCGAATGGTGAAGTACTGAAGCTATTAATGAAAAACAAAAAGTGTTATTTAACATAGACGGTGGGCGCGGCGAAAAAGAAAAGGTTAGAAGATAGATAGATGATGGATGGAGAAGGTTAGAAATGAAGAAGTGTTAGAAAGAATAGGAGAACAGAGGACTCTTTGGAAGTCAATAAGAAATAGGCGAAATAGGTTGGTAGAACACCTTCTCAGACATGAAGGTCTAGTCAGAGACATATTAGAGGCAGAAACAGGAATTAAGAGGAGTAGAGGTAGACCTAGATCGGATTAGTTTTCGCAAATAGTTAAAGATATGGGTTGTTCTAGTTTTAGGGAAAAGTTTAGCTCAGGATAGGAAAGAGTGGAGGTGCGTGTCCAACCAGTCTTAGGACTGACGACCTTATGATAATGATGATGATTTAACATGTAATTAAGTCTTATTACCAACCAACTGTTAAAAAGATTTCATTTGTTTTTCTATTTTAAATGGCTTTTAAGAATGCAAATTAACCGCATATAAGCCGGACTGAAATAGTCAGAATTTCCGTGGAAAGTACTTTCTAAGTTTATAGGTATTAAGTCATGAATAATAAGGGTCGAAATTAGTAAATGGCAATGGATTCCCCTTTTGAAGACATCAAATAACGTTTTCAGAATTTTGTGTTCAAAGTTTTCCAAAAATGCATTTCGAGTCTCTCTAATTTTAAATAAGTTTTCCTACAAAATTGGTAATTAGTTTATTAGGTACCATAAGTAAAATTTCATTTTCATTTAATATTTTTTATCAAGAGTTTAATTACTATTGATAGCTTCTGTGACGATTACCGTTTTAATTAAGTTTTTAACTGCATAAGAAGTTTTTAAAATCGAATAATATAATGTTGTTTGCTGGCTCCTGGTTGCATTATGAATATATATTGTTGGAGCGATGTTGCATTGTGGACTAAACTTGCTACACCAAGTCGGATTTGTTAACGAAGCAAGAAGCGGCTTAATTGCATAAATAGCTTCGTTCCAACCGGGATTTTGTGTGCACGGGATACTCGAACTAATTCTGTCCGGAAATATCATAAATGACCGAGAACAATCCAGGTTGTTGTCACAACACGGATTAATGGAATTATTGCAGTTAAGCTCCTCTAAGTCTAAAGTAGCAGCTATCCGCGCACTGCTGATGCTACTACGTTGCATCCATGTCGCACAAGGGAAGGCTTATGACGTTTTTCTTTTATTTGGTTTCAAAACTCGAATAGTTTATAATCTTGCGAAAGACATAATGATATACCAACAAATATAAAAACGACCAAAAATATATGCTAAGTTCAGAAAACATTTAACAATTCGGATTTAATTATTTAACACGTAGAAAGCCAACTTTATGCAGTATTTTTGCTTTGTAAGTAGTTTACGAAAAATGATGTTGCACTTTTTATTATAATCATCAACGTAGAACTAGTTGGACACGCACCTCTACTCTTTCCTATCCTGAGCTAATCTTCGCATTTCCCCAAAACTAGAACATCCCACATCCTTAACTGTTTGCGAACATTAATCTATTCTAAGTCTATTTCTACTCCTCTTAACTCCTGTTTCTGCCTCTAATAGGTCTCTGACTAGCCCTTTATGCCTGAGATGGTGTCCTACCAACCTATCTCACCTATTTCTTATTGACTTCCATACAGTCACTAGTATTTACCAGCATTTTCACAAGAATATGATTCTTCATAGTCCCTACAAGTTCTTACAGATGAGCCTGGATTAAACCTGTAGCAGGGGGTTGTAGACAAAATAAGAAATGGGTCCCATGTATAGTTGCTTGAGCCTAGTTTTGCCGGTTTTGGATTATAAAGTGACAATTGTAAATCTTTTACTTTATTATTTATTAGTGGAACAATAAGTCTACTAATCCGGATACCTAACGCACAAGGAAGAGAAAGATACCCTTATCTTTCTTATAGCTAGTCGCAGGTGACGAACGTTGCTTGTGCAGCTTATAAGGTATTTTTATCTTCCTTTTGCGGTAGGTATCTGGGTTAATAAAATAGATTTATTGTTCTAGTAATAAATAATAAAGTAATAGATTTACAATTTTGATTTTATAATATAAAACCGGTAATATTAAACTGAATCTTATACTATATCAATTTTTTGGTTCTAGCAAGTTAAGATCGTCAAACAAAGGGATGAGTTAGACTAAGTTAGTTTAGGTTTGGTTAGGCGATGTAATTGTTATATGACTTTACGAATGAAAAAGAAGTTTGCAACAAAAGTTGTTGTCTATTGTTGCAGGGTTCCAGCCTGTTATGATGCCAGTGGACACAGTATGTGCCAAGACTAACTATCCAACAGCCCAAACGCCAACATCGCCCGCACTAGGTCCGCCCGCGGTCGGATTTTCCGGCATCGCCAACTTTAACCAAAGATGTTCGACGGAAGAACAACAAAAGGACGACGAAGAAAAGTTCGGTAAAAATGTCCGGAGTGAAGTGCACGTGTGACTTAGCGTCTTTTTCGATAGATATCTCGGCAAACAGAATGAATGAATGAATAAATCAATAAGTTCCTAAGTTTCGTCGGAATATGATGATGTAGTTGTTGACGTGAACACGAGTGATGCTGCTGCTGCTGTGACGTACGTCTGGTGTAAATGTGTAAAGTACTAGTCTTTAAAACAAAAGAAGAAAAAAATACAAATGAAGAGGAAGATAAGCAAGGAATAATAATAATAATATTAAAAAAAAAACAAGTGACTTTCGTTTTCTATACATAAGTAACGCTGCCGCCTACTAAACGTTTTTTCTGACTGCTAGTTGCGTTTTCTCTCTTCTGTTTATTTGTGAAAATAAAATAACGTATTTTTTCCCTCTACGGGAGCTAAGTGTATATCGTTGTAAAGTACCAACTGTTCTTAATCAACTTTAATATTCTTCTCGATCTTTGGACGCTAGACAAAGAAACAAACAAAGTAGCACCCTTAAAAATATTAAGTACATTATAGTTCACCGAGGTATGCATTTTACGTTTTCATTTCTGTAAAGCATACGTAAAGGTTCTCCTGGAAGATATAATGGGTACAAACTGTATCACTCAAAAAAAAAATGTGCTTTGTTGTAAGTAGGTACGTACCAAAACATTTTTTGAAATACGTATTTGCATTTCCCAAGATTCAATAATAAATCAATATTTTTTTGTTAGATATTTGTCTTTTTAAAACTGTCGTCGTTCTCTTATTTTACAATATATAATGTTGAAAGTTACGTGGGACATGCAGAACGTATGTTTTCGTGGGTAGTTACAGAACATAGCGTCAAGTTAATAAGTTTCAATTCAAAGTATCTATAATATTTGATTGCAATTAATTCTTCTATTCTGATCTCACTCTAAAATCTTCCAAAACAATCTTTACGATTGCTGATTTAACACTTTTAGTTTCAAGAGACCGATCAGTTCTGGTGGAGTGTTTACATACAATGATATATTTTTTATTCCGCAGTTGACACGCACTTATGTATGTATTTATTTTAGTTTTTAGAATGTCATTTATAATTTGTCTTATGGCTCACTAGATTTGACCGGTCTTTTTTTATAGTTAATAATTATGCGAATGAATTATTTTTTTTGTACATATTTTTTTGTATTATAAATTTACCCATCATGCGTCGTGTAAGTTATTTTTTTATTAAACGTTGTCGTTAGTCAAGTCATGGCTAAATGTAAATATAACTATTATAATTACTTCTCGTGAAAAAGTCTTTTATTCAAGCCCGTAATCTACCTAACAAAAGTTTTATAAAGTAATTTTTGATCTCAATTTGATTCACTGATTTGAAACGATTTTGAAGACGAGTAACGAAAACATCGAAAGGTAAGTGAAAGATAATTTAAATTTGCTGGGCGATTAACAATCGATTGTCGATTGTCGAACATAATCGATTACCGCGATTAATCGGTATAATCGTTTGTTTTGAATAATCGATTATTTCGATCAACCGAATATTTTTAAAAACAGAAAACAATCGATTAATCGGTTATTTTTGATGATTGAAAACATTGATTACTTAATCGATTATTATTTATTAATCGAGTAATCGGATAATTTACCAGCCTTAGTCTACCAATTGTCATACATACATATAAGCATGCAAATCTAGACGATATTTCATATACAGGGTGTTTTACCTAGGACGTTTTTGTCCATAACTAAACTAAATATTTATCTCTTTTTTTCCAGAAAAAAAAAAACGATTATTCTATATTTAAAACCTTATATCAGTAGAAAGGGCTTTTAATTCCGCATCGAATGGTATCATTTAAAATGGGTCATTCCTTTTGCAAAAAATGTTATTCTTCCTATAAGATTGTCAAATGTAAATTTCGATAGATTCGACTCTGAGTAATCAAAAGAAATGGAACACCCTGTATGACTGAAAATATTTTCTATATATGTACCGTACGATTCTAGGCCACTTTTTTTCATACATAATAGACTTGTAAAAGCCTTAGGTGGAAAACCCTGCATAGATATGGTTATATGCATGTATTATGAATTATATATAGAAATAGGTAATAATAAGAGAACGAGGAAAAGATAATGGGTAGGTCGAAGAAGCCTCCCTCTCAACCACCTGACTACCATATCATAAATCATAGTAGATAGTAATTCTAAAAATATTTTTTGGTATACCTTGATTTTATCTGCAATTATTCTAATTATTTACTTGTGCTGTCTAAAGTAGCAAAAAAAAAAAAATATTTTTCAAGTAAGCAATGACATTAAATTTATTCACGACGGGGATATAGGGAGATAAGAAAAAGAATAGCAGCTCTCGGCTGCGGAATCAAGAAAATGTAGGGCATTTAATAAAAGGCTCCTTTTTTCTTCCAAACGAATTGCCAAGCTATCAAATTACTTTTAGAGAGGAAAATAAAAGAAAATATAAGAAGGCAACATGGGAAACGCATGAAGATAAAAATAAAACCGTAATAGTACGTTGTACGTTTCTGCTACTTTGTTAATGGATTGGAATTGCTTAGACATATTATTTTAAAACAGAGCCAAACAATTTAGAAAATTGAAGTCCTTTTAATGATGTTAATACAATAAAGATATCATATATCACATTCCAAAAAGGTAGAAAACATGATCATATTTTAAGTATAATACCTATAATAAACAATATAGTTTTAGGGCAGTTTAAAACCGAATGCTAATCATCGAATACATCTTGCCATTTCATCAACAAACCACCGTGTAATTTTAAAATAATCGTTCCAGTAAATGGTTACAAATTTTGCACACTATTTAGTTGGTTTACGAATTATTTAAGTCACAAGAAAATTTACGTAATATACTCTAACACATTCGTCTAATTTATAAAATATCCTCAGTTTTTAATGAAGTATGGTGGAAAACAGCAATAATAATCGATCCATTGATTAACAGATACATAAACTAGCAAATACATTTCTTTCCAAAGGAAAATTCTATTAAAACATGAAGTCAATAATTACTTGTTTGTGGTTTCTACTTTAACTATATATTTTAGATAGTTTATAAACCAACAGAATAATAATCAAAACTGTAGCTATTGTACTGATTAATAACTTATTATCAAAATTACCATCCGTTTGATTAATCATTATACCGACCTATCTAGCTTATTTTTTAACTGTAAAACCAATACCCAAGTAAGTATTAAAACCGTAACGTACAAGTTGTTTTTTTTTTCATATTTCTATACCTTAGTATCTAAACGTTGTGGTCACAATTTCATTTTATGAAATTGTTTATGATATTATAGCATCACGTTTATACATTTAACCATTACGGGGTCATATATAACGTCATTTATTTATTAAAATAAAACCTTCCTTTACGAACATAATAGTGTGTAGTTATGTTGAAAATGCACTTCCTTATTTAAGCTAATTATTACTTAGTGGTTGACAATCGACCTTTGTATGTAAATAAATGCAAGTACGTATGTGTGCATATGAATGCAGAAAAATAAAACGATCTAAATGACATCTTGTTTTACATAAATTAACATTTTATGTACCTATATGTTGAAATCAAACTGTAAAATTAGGCACTTTAAAAGCGGTTAAATAACTAGGAGAGCAGGACTGTTTTGTTAATAACTAACTAAACGTTATGGGAGAGTATTTTAAACATTATATTTGGCTTTAGAATGACCGACGGTTAGCTGCACTAATAAGGATAATAGTATGCATAATCAGGCAGTTAAAAAAAGATAGTTTCAACCCTGTCACCCTCATTTTGGTTTGGCTATGGAGTGAATCAGTTTATTTAATACACACCATACTCAAGTTCCAATCAGAAACAAAAAAAAGGACAACCAAAAAATCTAGGCACTACTGTATGTACACCATCCCTTCTCTCTTAGGGGCTTCACCCCCCTTGTGTATTGTTATTCCTATGTCTATGATTGCTGTTTTCATCTTATTGCCTAGCCGGATTACAAAATGCGAACTTCATATGTACACATTATATGCAAACTTAATGTTATATGCAAAATTTTATGCTTTTGATGGTAAAATTACGTATTCTTTAAATTTAATAAAATATCTTTAACTTACGGGGGTCGTTGCATCCTAGGTTCGAATCTGGCAGACACACACCGTTAGAACTTGATGCAATTATTATTAATGTTACTATTTTGCAAAAAACAAATGTGCGGCTAATGTTACACAAGTTCAGTTAGGCAAAACAGTTCTGCACACTGGGTTGACCAAGTCAATACTGATTGGAAAAAGACAAAATAAAACTTTATAATTGCCTAAACAAGAGCACACATACATATAGTAGATATATATACCGTCATGTAAGAAAGGTCATATTACTATCATTATCTACATCTATATATGAGAATAGATATAATTATAAAAAAAGTGTTATGTTCTGCTGTTTTTATGATTGAGTTTTTTTATTATTGAAATAATTTTAAATAACGATTTAATATGATTATACTTGTTTAAAATTCACATAAAGAGCTTATAATTAATATCTAATATACGGGAACAATAAAAAAACAAAGATGCATTTACAAAACATCGTAATCCTGAAAAGGACTCCGGAAATCCTTATGGAAAATCGGCTCCAGTCAAATTGACTCGATGTTCGATGTTCTTTATGACTTTCTGATTAAATGCTTTCATGGGCACGAGGTCAAAAAATAAAAAGCCTTTGGTTAAATATGAAAATATCGCACACATTTTGGCCTATAAAATGTGTAACTGATACGATATTCATAGAGATGTGCAAAATGTTTTTTTAAAAGTACTTAAATACAGAATACAAATAATTTTTTGATTTGTTATTTCAAACGTAAAATACAAAATAGATTTCCCTTTTGTATTTTAAATGAGAAATGCAAAATATGTATTTTAAGAACACTTTTCAAATAAATACTTTTTTATAGTGCCTATTTAATTTTCTACATTTACTTTAGTATAGGTACTTAAAATATTTTTTAAGAAAACCTTGCAGGCATTTGCTTATTTTTCAAATATTGGAGTTTTTCTAGACTAATTGTGGTGTTTGCACTATATATATATGATTCATATTTTTCTGTTTAAACTGATTGAGATATAGTTTTTCTATCTTTATGTTATAGTTTTTTCAGTTCAGTAATAAATAATTGTTCTATATGCTTCCTTACTTGTCTTTGTCAACCGCTTTAATTGGAAAAACACTGATGCCAAAATAGTTTGTTTAACGTAAAAGATTAGAGCCAAAATAGGGTTGCAAATAATTTATTGATGTAAAATCAACATCAATCAATACTTGCAACCTTGTTTTTTTGTGATCTTTGACATATTGTAATAAGAGAAAGAAATGAAATCCGTAGTTTCCTTAGCTTTGGATTCACCTACTAAGTAAATGAAGTCTTCCTAATTGTTTTCTAAGAATTGTAGATTATACGCATTTATTAGTACACTACTGTATCTTTAGTTTCCAGTTTTATACAGCTGGCGTATATCAATTATATCAATAGAAGCTACTGGATGTCAAGATCAAGCGCTCATGAAAATTTTTGATCAGAAAATCATAAACAACATCATACTCCAATTATACGTAGCAGCCAATTTTATCCGAGCCGATTTTCCGTAACACCCTGTATTTAACTTCTTTACCGCCTGCGATGCAATAATAGTAATAATAATAAGAGTCGCCTAATTGAATTTTGCGCCGACACCTTTGCTGGTGTCCTTAATAAACTTTTTATTGGCGCAGGTGCAATTTGATAGTTAATGAAACAAAGCTTTATTCACTTATTTCGTGACGCTGTTGCTTCTGTTTACGATAAGACGGTGAGAAACAATTACAGTTAATAGCTCGGAAAAGATGTTTGCCGTACAAACTCAGTAGAAATTCTGCAGCAGCTTTGTTCGCTCAACTCGAAGTAAACAAAAAGTTGTCGTTTTAGCATAGTCTGGCGCATGTAATACGTACATAATATAATACTAAGTAGTAAGTACTAAAAAGCTGCTCATTTTAATCCGAAACTTGAACAGAGAAAAGAAACTCTTTCATTAGCATTCGAAATAAATTACACTTATTTCTTTACATGTCATTGCTAATTAAGCAGTCCGTTAATACGAAGGTTGAGATGCAACTTCAAAAATCGAAAAAATGATTTCAAATTAATATTCAAAATTGTCATTAGTAAGTTAGTCTTTTATAATAAATTAATTAAGTTAGTAA